CGGTGCAATTCTACGGGCACTTCGGTGCAATTCTACGGGCACTTCGGTGCATTTATACGAGCTGTGGTGACAGCATAGTGCACAACCTCACATTACTCAAATACCTTAGGTTCTCAATATGCTATCATGGGCCAATAAACTTATTAATACAGAATAATGAATGTTACAGTCATATGCTTACAGGTATGGATATTGATGAAATATACTATATTGATTAAGTACATGTTTGCATCTCATCTCATATGATCCTGACATTTTCATTACATTACATTGCCTTATTATTATTGCCTCACTAAGTCGATGACTTAGCGTGTGAGTGTTTCACACGTAGGATCCGGGAAATTAGAAGAGACAGGTGAAGCAGCTTGACAGTATTACTCCTGCAACCATCAGATCAGAAGCAACTTAATCAGTAGGTCATTTTGTTATGTAAATAACAGTTGGCATGTAATTAAAGGGTTAAGTTGTGTATGCTCTGAATATTTTTGTAAACTCATATTACAGTATGTATATTATTGTATTTTCTTAATACAAGTTCAAACATTTTACTATTATTTATTAAGAGTTGTGTTTTAAAGTCAATGTAGTATCTCTGACTCATATCCGGGTCGGGTATGGGTTGGGGGTGTTACAGTGCAGGTGAAAGCTTCGAAGCAATTGTAGTGGCTAGGCTAACTTTATTCCTTAATGTCAATGAAGCCGAAAAAAATTTCTACAAAAACAATAAACATACCAAGTTAGATATACCAAAAACTACACTGTGAAGATATACCAAAAACAATAAACATAAAAAGTAGTAGTTTATTCTTGAAACTAAAATTTGCAACACTGTTTTGTCTTTTGGTTGAAATGAAAATCGCAACGAGAGAATGACTGTCGCAACGAGAGAAATGAAAATCGCAACGAGAGAATCGCAACGCGAAATGAAAATCGCAACGAGAGAATCGCAACGCGAAATGAAAATCGCAATGTGATTTTGGTTTCGCGTTGCGATTCTCTCGTTGCGATTTTCATTTCGCGTTGCGATTCTCTCGTTGCGATTTTCATTTTTCTCGTTGCAGATAGTCATTTTCACGTTGCGATTTTCATTTCTCTCGTTGCGACTCTTCTGCAAATTGAAACTTGAATGGATTGCATTACTTCAACCAAAAGACAGAACAAAGACAAAGACAAATACTAACTTGAAAATCGCAACGAGAGAATAGCAACGCGAAATGAAAATCGCAACGAGAGAATCGTAACGCGAAATGAAATCTAAGTGAAATGGTTAATCTATTATTGAAATGACCAGTAAACTTATCATCAGTTTCAATATGAAAAACCTACAATAATGCAAAAATTTCAAAATAAAAATAATTAAAAAAACTAACCCTCGGAGGTTGATTTTCCATTTCTGAATATTGTGAGGGATTTCTGACCGTGAATGGTTGTGAGGGATTTCGCCGGAGATGGGGACGGAAATCTTCGGAGATGGGGACGGATTTCGCCGTAGAGAGTGAGAGATGGAGATGGGACTGAGTTGTGATTTTAGGTTTTAGGTTATGAGTTGCGATTACGGGATTTTGTCTTAATATTCGTTTTTGTAATTTGAAAATAAAATACGCGTAGCGATTATAATGGCGCTTTAAAAATCGCGTTGCGATTTACGGATACGCGTTGCGATTTTACGTATTGTCGTTGCGATTTACGGATACGCGTTGCGATATACGGATACGCATTGCGATTTACGGATACGCGTTGCGATTTACGGATACACGTTGCGATTTACGGATACGCGTTGCGATTTATGTGTTCGCGTTGCGATTCTGGAAAATCGCAATGCGAATTTGTACTATCGTATTGCGATTTTCAAGAATCGCGTTGCGATTTTGGAAACTGATTTGCGATTCTGGGGACCGCATTGCGATTTTTATTTCGCGTTGCGATTTTGTTGGTCATTTTGGCAAATCCAAAAAAAGTTGGTTAAAATCGTATATTATAAGGCATTTTTGGTCACTGAGACGATTTTCTCATGTTTTATTATTTATGTTCGGGATTTATTGAGAATAATAAAACCAATATTCATCGTACTCATGCAACAAAAATATTCCGAAATTATTTTTTTGAAAATAAAACTCATCAAATCAAACTAAAAGATTCTCGATGGCATTTACCCTTTTTCTAGGGTTGAAACTATATATTTTTATACCAAATTTGAATTATAATTTTTTATGGGTTAAAAATGTAATTTTATCATTGTTTTGGCATGCAGCTTTAATTTTTTTAGAAGGATAATCATATTTATTTATAAATACTTTTTATTTTATAAATATTTATTATGAGATATATTATTTTTTAGAATTTAAAAACTTGTGTGTTTATTTATATTTTGTAATTTAAAATCATGTATTTCTTTCATCTATGTTTGATTTAATGTGATCCTATATAAGATAAACTTGAAAAATAAAAAATAAGAGGAATCATTTTGATTTTAATTATATTCTCTAACAAATATAATTAATTAATTATAATTTATTAACGATTGACCTATGGTTAACCGTTTATTAAAATTCATTAACCATAATCGTTAATTGATATTTTTAACGGTTAGGTTAACCAAAACCATGTAATCTTAAAGGTTAGTTTAATTAACTTACAAAATATAACGGTCACATCGATTAATGATTATAGTTAACGATAACAAATTAATTTGAATACCCATATTATACATAATATATGTTAAGTTTAAAAAAATCCAAAAATCATATTTTTTTTATTTAACAAATTGATAATATTTTTAATTTTCTTATTTTAACTTTTTATGATTTTGTTTTTTGCAAAATTTCGACGTGTTAAACAACATGTTCCTATTATTCCACGTGAAACTGTTTTTGTATTGAAAAATTGGTTGAAGGTAATGTACATAACGGTTGGAAAGCTTAGGTATCAATCTGAAACAAAAAAAATCTTCAAGTGCCAAAATAATAATAATAGAATATAACTTCAAAGGACCAAAATATAATTTTACGGAAAATTTATGCTACATTAATTAAACTATTTTAGGATGCTTGGCCCCTTGCTCCACTAAGTTCACACGTGTCATCGTGTTCTTTGTATTGTCCTTTTCATAACTTTTAGTTTTCACCCAAACGACTTTTATATTCAAAATTCCCATAAATTAATATATAAAAAATAATATAGAAACCAAATAATTTTAATAGTTAATAAATTGTTGTAATTTTTTGAGATCTCGAGTTCAAACACGACTTCTACAGAAACATATGAATATTTATTATCAAATAATTAAGATTATCTCGAACAAATATTATTTTATATTTATCCATGCCAATAAAAAATAAAACATATTTTCTTCTTATTTATTTGTTGCAATAACTAAATTCTAGGAAGCATCATACCATTTCATATAAAACACAGACATTGTATGTATAATAGCAAAACTTTTTTTTCTTGTTCATCTCCACAGTCAAATTTCAATAAACTTCATACCCATTTCTATAAATTACAAAACAAAAAGGACCAATATTATAAATTTGGATTTTTTTTATTCACCCAGAGCTCTTGAATTCACATATTGGATTAATAAGATGAATGTACCATTTTAAAGTACTGAAAAAATTGCTGTCCCTACTAATATTTTATTTTGTAATTCTTTTATAAAAACTGTTAGTTTTATTAAAAATAAAACATATATATAACTATAAAGAAGGTTTAAATTCATAATTGTAAATTAAATAAATAAATAAAATATTTTTATAATAAATAATATAAAAGTCAAATACTTAAAATCACTTAAAAGAAAAATATTAAAAACTTAATAAAAAACTCGAACAAAAGATATATACAAATAGATCTTATTACATCTAGGGATGGGCATGGGTCGGGTTTCGGCCAACCGACCCGACCTGAATATTTTACATCCTTTACCCGAATCGACCCAAAAAATATATATCCTCCACCTGGCCCGAACTCGACCTGATTTTTTAAGATAAAATCCGAACTCGATCCGAACTGACCCGAAATAAAAAAATATTATTTTATTCAATAAAAAATTGATTTAATTAAAAAATAATAGATGGAAGAGTATTATTGTTGTTATTCCTAAATATATAAGGTAAAATTATATATATTTTTAGGTCGAGTCGAGACGAGTATTTTCACCATAACCCAAATCTGACCTAACCAAACATCAATTTAAAAAAAACCCCGACCCGACTCAACCGAATCGAGTCGGGTCAGAACTCGTCGGGTTCTAGTCTCATGACCATCCCTAATTACATATACAAATGAACCATAGAAGAGGGTCAAACTACTGAAAATATCACTCATAAACCGTAAATTAGAGTTGATCATTGTGAGAAAACTATCCACGAACATAAATAACGCATCCAAATCCAATCCGAGTATCGAAAAGGAAAAAATTATCACTATAACAAATAAACATCATAATAATATAAAATTTAACCACGAAAAAAATAAAAATAACGATTAAACAACCAACATTGTATAAAAATAGTGTTATTAAAAGATTTAATACACTTTTATGTGCCTAAATTATATTTCAAATTAATTTTCAGTGCTTAAAGAACTTTTAATTAAAAATAAGTGTTTAATGTTTTTTCTGTTATATTTTTAGATGTATATTGTTAAAAAAACTATTAAATATTACGTGTCACGTTCATATTTTTTTTAAATATTTTATTCTTAAAAATTAAAAAATATAAACGTGACACATATCAATTAACGATTTTTAACGATAGACACTTAAATATATTACAAAAAAATATTAAATATATATTTCTAATAAAAAATTTAAACACCAAAAATTAATTTATCCTTATTTTACGTAACTAAAAATATATTAATTTACGTACCAAAAAATATATTAAGCCTCGTTGAACACTCTTTGATCGACATTTTCCTGCAAGCGGAAGATGTTCACGGGCTGAATTTCCGGGTCTCTTCCCTTCCTGCAATTTCCCCCAACTCCACTTATATAAATCCCAATACAAATCTTAATAAAAATCTCTTACACAGTAAGAGAAGAGAAAGAACACATCTTTACTCGGCCTGCTCGTTTCACATTCTCAGATCAAGATCTCTCTTTTCACTTAACTTGGTATTTTTGAATCTACCCTTTCTCTTCTTCTTATTCTTCTTCTCCCTGCATCTCAATTTTCCAACACTGATCTTCTCTGTTTCCATTGCTGCTTCATTTTTTCCCTGAAGTTATATTGTTTTAATATCCTTTTCTGGGTTGAACTAACTTTCTTTTATCTTTGGGTTTATCTATTTTAGTTGAGCAATGACGGAGTCAGATATATTGCTCCACGGGACTTTGCATTCTACGATCTATGAAGTTGATAAGCTTCATAGTGGGGGTTCAAACTTCTTCGGCAAGGTATAACATTCTTATGCTAGATCAATATCATGGTTGCTTGCTTCTTTTATATTGTTGTTTTGGGTACTTTTTGCTGCACTTCTTTGGTTGACTAATCAGTCGGTTCGTTTTTTAAGAGAAAAATCAGTAATGGGTTTTGATCTTGTGAGTGTTACAAATTTAAGATCTTGAAAACATATTGACCTTTACGTTAAAAAAAGTTGCTTTCGGATAATCTGAGTTCGAAATTATCTTATATTGATATAGATATATAGATCTTTCCAGATGTTGGAGTGTTAGGTAAGATCTAGGCCTTTGTATTGTGGAAAACCCATCAATGGGGCCTATATAATGGCTCTGAAGATATTTCGTTTTCGGTAATTCCAGTAGCCAATACTCACCCTGGTTGAAAGTGAGTGTGTATTGAAATGGATTTCACTGCTGAACAGTCACACAATTGATCTTTTGAAAATATAGGGAAACGATTCGGGTGATTCTAATGAAAGGAAATGATTTATGATGGCTCCTAGGCCCTAGCAAGCATTCTTTTCCAAGACAATTTAGGTTGTAAGGAAATAATGATGTGGCAATGTACCATGATATCCATGAAGAAGATGTCGGTATGTTCGTGTGTACATGTTCTTGTCTGAGTGTTCATGTATATCAGTTTAATATTAGCTGACCCTATTCCCATATGTAATGGGGTAAAGGGAGGTAGGGTAGTAGGCTGCCCCCAACGCCAGGTTGAGAGCAGCTTCCGTAGAAGACCTCCGTTATGAATTGCCCTCAGTGGAACTCGATCCCACGACCACAAGGTTAAGAGCCTTGCGCTCTACCAACTGAGCTAGACGGGCAATTCATTTTAATGCCAGTACGAATTGGATACTCGTGTGATCAGATTATATAAATTCATTTTCTTGGTTTTAAGATATATCTGAAATATTTCTTGTGTGACATACATGAAATAAATGAACATTTGTCTTTGAAAATGCATTTGGTGCTATTTTGGTACTTTTTCCTTTGCAGTTATCATATCTTGGACCTGGTAGCAATTAGACAATGGTTTATGCTCTTAAAAGCATGGAACCTTCAAACCTTAATTTCCCTCTCGCTTTGTAGTGGACTTCTGCCTTTTTACTCATGTCTTCATCATGTAATCCTTAGATATTCTTATAGTTGGCGAAATTTATTGAGGATTATCGGAAGGTTTATCAGTCCTTTTTGGAAGTTTCCATCTTGTGTTCATTCATGCTGCTGGAACATATTTTCTCCTTTTATTTTGAACAAATTTGTCAAATATTTTGTCTTTTTCACTCTCCTGGTTTGGAAATATTATTAGCCTGTTTCATGATATATATGCTGACTTTTTTCATTTTTTTTGTCCTCTCATTTTTCTTTTGAATTGTTTAAGTATCTGCTGGATGAAATTCTTCTTGCAGCTTGTGCAACATGTTCAAGAGGCTATTAATGTAGGCGAAGGAATTCCGAAGATTTACGCGTCTATTGATATTGAAGGTGCTAGAGTTGGAAGAACCAGAACAATAGAAAATGACACTTCCAACCCTAGGTGGCATGAATCTTTTCACATTTACTGTGCCCATTCAGCTACCAATGTGGTATTTACCGTTAAAGATGACAATCCTATTGGAGCCACTCTGATTGGAAGAGCTTATCTTCCTGTTAAGGATCTCATAGAAGGGGAAGAAGTGGATAGGTGTGTTGAAATCCTGGAAGAAGACGGTGAGCCTATAAAAAGTGGAGGTAAAATCCATGTTAAGCTTCAGTATTTTCCTGTGACAAAGGACCGCAACTGGGACCGTGGTATCTTAAGTCGCAAGTATCCTGGAGTTCCATATACATTTTATCCACAGAGACAAGGGTGTAAAGTTTTTCTGTACCAGGATGCTCATGTACCAGACGGATTTGTTCCTAAAATTCCTCTTGCTGGAGGAAAGTATTATGAGCCTCATAGATGTTGGGAAGATGTTTTTGATGCTATCTCAAATGCTAAACACATGATCTACATTACTGGTTGGTCTGTTTATACTGAGATCACTTTGGTGAGAGACTCGAGAAGGCCAAAGCCTGGGGGAGACACCATCACTCTTGGCGAATTGCTGAAAAAGAAAGCGAGTGAAGGTGTCACGGTTAATATGCTCGTTTGGGATGATAGAACATCTGTTAGTTTGCTGAAGAAGGATGGGCTAATGGCCACCCACGATGAGGAAACCACAAATTTCTTCGAGGGTACTGGGGTCAACTGTGTCTTATGCCCACGTAATCCAGATGACGGTGGAAGTTTTGTCCAGGACTTACAAATAACTACCATGTTCACTCATCACCAGAAGATTATTGTAGTGGATGCCGCGTTGCCTAATGGTGATCCAGAGAAAAGGAGAATTGTGAGCTTTGTTGGAGGTATTGATCTTTGTGATGGTAGATACGACACACCTTTCCATTCCTTGTTCAGGACCTTGGATAGTGCTCACCATGATGATTTCCATCAGCCAAATTTTGCTGATGGTGCAATTACCAAAGGTGGACCGAGGGAACCTTGGCACGATATCCACTCCCGACTTGAGGGGCCAGTTGCTTGGGATGTCTTGTTCAATTTTGAACAAAGATGGAGAAGACAAGGTGGTAAAAATGTGCTTCTTCAGCTGAGGGATCTTGAAGACGTCATCATTCCCCCATCTCCAGTTACATTTCCTGATGACCATGAAACTTGGAACGTACAGTTGTTTAGGTCAATTGATGGCGGGGCAGCTTTTGGTTTCCCTGAGACTCCTGAAGATGCTACCAAGGTTGGGCTCGTGAGCGGAAAGGACAATATCATTGACCGAGGTATTCAAGATGCCTACATTAATGCTATCCGACGAGCAAAGAATTACATCTATATTGAAAATCAGTATTTTCTCGGAAGCTCCTTTAACTGGAGTCGTGATGATATCAAGCCTGAGGATATTAATGCTTTGCATCTGATTCCAAAAGAACTTTCACTTAAAATCGTTAGCAAGATCAAGGCTGGAGAGAGGTTTACAGTTTATGTTGTTGTCCCCATGTGGCCGGAAGGAATCCCGGAGAGTGCCTCGGTTCAGGCAATATTAGATTGGCAGAGAAGGACCATGGACATGATGTATAAAGATATCGTCAAGGCTCTCAGGGACATAGGTAGTGAGGAGAATCCCAGAAACTATTTAACCTTTTTCTGCCTAGGGAACAGAGAGGTTAAGAGGAGCGGAGAATACGAACCTTCTGAAACACCAGATGCTGATACAAACTATGCCAGAGCCCAGGAGGCCCGTCGTTTCATGATCTATGTTCATGCAAAAATGTTGATTGGTAGGTGATGAAATTCTCTTTAGTTCTTTATCATGATTCTCTTTAGTACCTACACCTCATTTAACATTGTTTTGCTTTCTGCAGTTGATGATGAATACATAATAATCGGATCAGCCAACATCAACCAACGATCTATGGACGGTGCTAGGGACACTGAGATAGCTATGGGAGCATATCAACCGTATCATTTATCAGTTAGGCAACCAGCACGAGGTCAGATCCATGGTTTCCGCTTGGCACTATGGTATGAGCATCTCGGCATGCTTGATGATACTTTCCTTGCTCCAGAAAGTGAAGAATGTGTCCGTAAGGTGAACCAGATTGCTGACAGATACTGGGATCTATATGCAAGTGAGTCACTTGAGCAAGACTTGCCTGGACATCTGCTCCGCTACCCCATTGACATCTCTAGCGATGGAACTGTCACTGAATTGCCAGGAACCGAGTTTTTCCCCGACACAAGAGCCCGTGTTCTTGGTGCCAAATCCGACTATCTTCCTCCCATCCTCACTACCTAGGGGATCCTTGCCTTGTTCTCAAGTTATAACAACTCACCTTGTCTGGTTCAGTGGTTCTGGCATTTGTAGCAGTAATAAATCTTGTGTTCTAGCTTGCAGAGTTTCAGTGCTGTGTTGCTTTCTTTTCTCGACGGATGGTTTATATCTGAACCTAAACAACGGTGATGCTATGGTGTGGTTTTTAGTGCTGACCGGTATAATTAAAATCGTATCCTCGTGTTTATCCGATCGTCTTATGTTTTCCGTGGTTCTTGCTTTAGCATTTTCATCATCTTTGCTGAATGGAGCTCTACTTATTCACTTGTACATTGATCATATTGTTCATGACAGGTTTTGTAATAGCTTGAAGGAATGATTGATAAGAATCTGATCATTTATCTCCCAAGAAAGAATGACGATCAAGGGAAAACAAAATTACCATAACACATTAGAAACGATAAAAATAAACATAGTGAACAGTAACATTAACAATGCATAATATAATAATGACTCGTTGACAAATTAATCTTATCATAATTAAATCGTGATCTATCATTCAAAAGAAAGTATTATAAAAGTCGATAAAATCACCCGATATACTTCATAAGAAAATATGGAAAATAATTAAATAAAAGAATAATATAGTTCATATTAAAGGAGAGGAGAGAGGAGAAAAATAAAAAGAAATGTATGGTGGACGTCCTTGTACAATACTGGAAATACAATGTAATCCCTGTAATACTAAACGGAATAGCTCAGGCTCAGCTAGCTTTTACTAACCTCTCTAATCTATGCTATATTTTTCTCTTCCCAAATAAATAATAGTAATACTAATAATAAGTCTGTAGCATTTTCTCACCTTTTTCTCTGTTTCTTCCCCCAAATTACTAGAAAGCAGGCTGAGAGGAAGAAGAATATATAATAAAAAAGAAAAAAAACCCAGTTTGTCACTGTTTTTACAGGTAAATCCGTTTTGGTTTCTATGTTTATGGTGTTTTTTTTTTTTGGTTCATTGGTTCCTGTAAATTTCGTTACTTTTGGTTCCTCAATTGTTATCTTGATGTTTCTGTAGATACTCGTTTTGTCCGAGGTTAGATTGGAAGCAGACTCAAAGCTGAGCAATTGAAGGCCCAACTCAAGTCCACGTGAATACTCCCTAGAAGAATAAAAGTAGTTATCGGGTCAGTTTTTTAATTAATTAGGAAAACTGTCTTAGTAAAGTGGGGGTTTATTAATCATCACACAGCAAAAAAAAAAAAAGGAGAAGGGGGGAGAGGAGCAAAAATATTACAGAGACAGAACGAAAGGGAAAGAGGGGAATTTTGTAAAAGTTTCGGGTTCAACATTTTGAAAGCAATAAAAAGGAAACAATTTTTTTTTCTCTTTTGATTCCACTCTCACAATCGCAAGGATATCAATCATTCACAAAAAGGCAGTAGCATTCTCTTAAGCAAAAACAATAAAAAAACAGCAAGCATTGACAAGGAGGTATTTCATCTTATTTTGTTTATTTTTAGTAATTATTCGTATGTGTGGTATTTATTTAGGAAGAAAATAAAGGTTAGAAGATTACATATTTGAGTCACCTGGATTAAAACTGGAGCGTTGGGAATTGCTCAAGAAGCCTTGTACATGATTTAGGGTTTAATTTCTAGGTTGGGGATTTTTAAAATAAAAAAGAGTGAAGGCTAGAGTGATGGCCCGAGAGAACTAACCTGGTTGAATCCTATGGTGGCGCGAGTGAAGCCTTATGGTTATCACCGAGAGAAAGAGTAAGTTAGCCTGTTTGAGAAGAGGAAGAGAGTATGGCAGAGGAGAAAAGAATGGCCCTAAGAATGGTTAGATTTAGTAGAAGCGGGGAGGGGTTTAGTTATAATGTTATATCTTAATTTAATATTTTTTGAAACGGTGTAGTTCAATTGGAGTCCATTATATTTCATTTTTGTGTGATTGGGTTTATCTGGATTCCAATACTTGCAATTCTATTAAATTGTATTTTAATCTCTTGGTATATTATTTTATTTGTTTGTTGCTTTGTAATTTGTTTGTTTGTCTTTAACATTTGCTGCTTCAATCCTTCGTGATATCGATAAATATATGAGCGTGATTATGCGTAATATGGTCCTTGTTTGATACATTTTGCTTCGCCGATAGGTACTCATATATTTAAAATACGTATTCTATATCGGCTGTATATATATATATACACTGTAAATATGTTTTAATCCTCTCCATAATATATTTTATGTGTGTCAAATATAACATGGTGAGCCTTTTTTTAAATTATTACACGCAAGCATTAAAAACTTTTGTTATAAGTCATTTTAGGGGTAATTATAGCATGTATATATTGGCTTAACCAAATTTCAAATTTTATGGATCATTAACATGTTCATAATATATATATGTAAAATATAGCTGTAGTTGAGTGTTCATGTATCCTTTCGAATATATTAATTTAGGTTCCATCATTCATTCAAGTGTGTGATTTTTTTTTATGTCATATTGTACGATATTTTTAATTTTGTTTAATTAATTTTGGTATGACATTCTTTTTGCATAATTTGTATGATATCATCATGTGCATAACTCGACATTATTACATAATTTAACTAAGGGTGATATCCTTTTAATTTAAAATTGTTGAAGTGGGCAGTCATAACTGATTTGAGGTTCGCTTTTAATGATTTTAAAATAAAAGTGTATCCCGAAAGTGAAACAAAAAAATTGATTCGTCACCTAAAATTTGGGAACGAGAGAAAAAGAAATGTTCGTTTATTTAAATATATCGAGAAAAGGTTGTTATATCTTTTAAGATATGGTCTCGATATTTGTAAATAATCGAACATTCTTTATCTTTCTAAAATGACTCGGTAATTTTAATTTAATTTATTTGAGTGCTTTTGAATGTTTTAAATTTATATTTTTATTTTATGGGATCAAAAATCAAAATAAATTCGAATTTGTAAAGTTCATTGCAAAGACGTTAATTAATCGACTAGGTACCATTTTAGGGCGTTGTGGGGGTGCTAATCCTTCCCTGCACGTAACCGACTCCCGAACTCGGATTTTGGTAACGCATACCTTAATTTGTTATTTTAATAAAAATTAATTTTTATTTAAAATAACAAACAATTTTGGGTGCCCAATCACATTCTAATCAAAGATTGGTGGCGACTCTTTGAACTGTATTTTTTTCCGATCGTAAAGGAAATCCAAAATTTTTCGAAACGAGAGGTTTTTAAATCGCATTTGTTTTTAAATTAAAAATCAATTGAAAGAGGTAAATTAAAAATTAATGTGGTTTTTAAAATCTCACATTTTCACCTTTAAAAAAAATCGTTTCGACAGTTTCATTTCAGGAGATCAGATTCCCATTGATTTGCAGATCTGTTTTAGCTTCTGTTAGTACTTGCTTTGTATATATGGGGTAAGTTTCTTTTTTTTTCTTTTTGGGTCTTATGATTTTTCTATTTTATGGGCTTTTATTGACAAGATTGATTTTTTTTTTTGGTTGGATATGTTTTTTTTATTTGGGTTCCTCTTTGTTTGTGGTTGAGTCGATGGAGCATTTTTTTCGTTCTGCCCCCTTTTTGTTCTATAGCAATTGACATGCTCAGCTTGGTTCTTTGATAATATGCTTTTGTAGGATTTATTATGTTGATTGTTACTTTCTTTTGCATCTGGTGTCTGTGCACCTACTATGGCTGTGTTTGATAAAGAAAAGGAAAAGTTTTCTCACTTCCCAAACAATTAATGATTGTAAGTTACTGGTTTAGGCAGAGGATATTTTGATGCCTTGCTATTAATGTTGGATTAGAAAATGGAAAATTTTCAGATGTTATCTAGTGGTTCTGATGTAGCAGATAACATCTGTTTTATCAAGTGGCGAGTGATGATTTTTGATTGAGATTGATATGGCAACACACGGACTTCGAATTGTCAAATGGTTGAACCCACTGTTGAGAAATGTTTTGCTTAGTAACCCTGCCACCATGCTGGACATCGTTGTGCAAGGTCAATGCATGGTTTCAATCATGGATTTGATTGTTTGAGTTTTTCAAATGGAACTGCCTGAACATTTCCCTGAAAGGAATTTTACTTCTTTTGGTGGGCCTTTCTTGGAAGTTGTAAGATCTATACCCAATTAGCTTTGATCCAACATTTGGAAGCTTTGGATTCAAGTGTCTTAGCGCTGCATTTACGTAGGATAAGCTTTGGTTCCTAATCCCTTTGTCTTGCGAATAGATTAACCTATTAGGTGTATCAGTACTGTATCTTGATGTATGTTTTTGTTGCAACCATGGTTCTGCTGCTGTTTATTGTACTTGATAAATAACTTTTACAGGATGCTTTATGTGGACATGTATTTGTGAAATTATCATTTGATATCTTCCTGATAAACTTATTATCGGGGTAGTAGCCTCAGCTAGAGTTTTTGGCAGCTGGTATGATTGTGTGTGATTTGTAATAGAGCAGTGGTTGTCTAGGATTCTATGAGAGGACGACTTTCAATCCCTTGGTGAACGAATCATCAAAAGGACTAAAAGTTCAAGGTGAGACAGGCAAGAAAGCCAGCATATCGGAAGGTTTCTGGACTACTAGCACTTGTGATATGGATAACAGTGCAGTGCAATCACAGGGAAGCATTTCATCGATCAGCAGAAGCAACCAGACACTTGTTCCACATGGCAGAGTTGCGGCTGCTAATGCCCATACTGAATTTGTGAATCATGTCAAGTTCCCATCCCTTATTTTATTTCGTTTGGATTAGCATTTGTATGTGACAGCTTTATGAACCTCCTCTTCCTGCCTGAATAGTCGTCTTTGGACCTCATTTGGTACTAAAATAAGACGAGGCTGTCTATGCTCCATCTCATAACTGCACTCGGTTGCAGGCCTTCTTCTCTGGAATCAAATTCGGCAGCGCTGGGTGGGAAACAGGAAGTCTGAAAATCAGGGGCAAGTGGAACGAGAACCAAAACTAAAGTGAGTTATTGTCAGAAAATATTGAATTAGTGTTTTTGTTATTGTCGTGATTTCAAGTACAGTTCTTCCTATGAACTCTCATCCACTTGAAAATTGATCTGTGCGCGGATTTGTTTATATGCAGCTAAGAAAATAAGATATAGGTTGTTAATTAGTCTGCATTTTGTCTGGAATTATAAACAGTTCTTTCATCGGGCCTGTACAAAGGCACAAGACAAAGAAGAAGAGATTGCCATTTCCTCAAAAATTAAATTTTCAACTTCAAATCTTCTGGACAAGGGAGCAGATTTAACTGTTCCGCGTTTTAGCTGCCTTTGACCTTGGCAGGATGAGTTTTGCTACCAAATCATAGCATTGTTTTAATAATACAATAATGACTACCTTAACCATGTGGGATTTGCTTCATGACATCAACCACTCTGCTTTATTTAGAACCATATCGTCTATAAGCTCGGAAAAGCGAGGCCCCTTTTTATAGTTATTATATACGAGGCTTTTTTGGTCTTTCATTAAGTCACATTTCTGTTCTCTGCATTCATTGCTGTCATGTTGAATGGTGCTTGCATAAAGATTGAGTGTCTTAGGAGTTATCTCAAGCAGTCCGTTTTTAGCAAAATCCGGATGCTTGTCCATATAGAATCCGGATCTAATGTAGTAAACGTTGAAATGGAATATCGTCTGCTTACGGAAAACTACATCTGGTATATAAGCATACAATCCTTTGATCATTTACGAACTTTTTCGTTATCTTGTCGGACTCATTGTCTGTTCCCGGAATTCCTGCTTAGTTTACTCGGTAGCAAGAAGCCATTCGCTCAACCTATTCCTCTTTCTGTAAGTCCCAGGCTCCCAGCACCAGCAAGCTCATGGAATCATGAATTGCTTGCTAATCTGATTTTGTGTTTCCATGTTAAATGACAGGAAATGATAGATTTTCTGGTGGATGTATGGGAGCAGGAAGGGTTGTATGACTGAGAAACTACCCTATGAGTGCATTTCAAAGATGATATCAATATCCATATGCTTTGTTGTAACATTTTTAGTTGCTTTGTTTGCTTTTCATTCATTTTAATATGTAATGGCATTGCTTTGAGCAAATGAACAAAAGTTATTTTCTTTCATAAAGATAAAAAAAGGAAAATTGATAGATTATACTCTTTACAACATCTTGATTATAGAAAATTGTTTTATTTACATGATTTTCCTCTTAAATGTTCATGCACAATTTGTTCATAATTTGTTCGATTTGTGAACATAAACGAGTTTGTTCACGAATATAAATGAATCTAATATATCTCTGTTTGTGTTTCTCAACTTATTAAATGAACATACAAATCTTGTTCATACTCGTTTATTTAACATAATAAACGGATATTATAGGAATGATTCAAGAACAATTCATTGAATGATTTGTTCATTTACATTCCTATGCACAAATATTCATAATTTTTTTTGAAAAAGAATGAAGAGAAAGAGTTCAAAATCAATTAATATTCATATTTATTATTTTTTAAATTACTTACTTTCAAGTGCCTATGTCAATTAAAAAATTATGTTATCTAACACTTGTCGCATTTATAAATTTTTATTTTAAAAATATTTAAAATTAATATTATTTTTTAAAAAAATCTCATTTTTTTCTGAAATTATAAAAAAATCTCAATTTCCCTAAAAACCCCAGTTTCAAGCCTCTTACCACCATCAACCGCCACCAACACCGCTAAACGACTAAAATCCCAAGTTCCCAACAACGTGCGACAGATAAAATACTCAATAACCGAAACTCCTTGCTCCAACCCCTAATTGCAGCGACCAATCGACGATGGAAGCATGGAGAAATACGTATGGTGGGCCATGAAATCATGCATCCACGCAACATTAGGTGTTCAGCTGATTGTGGAAGTTAGAGGTTTCTATCGTTTAGGTGTTTGATCAATTAACAACGTTGGTGACGGCTGATGATGCTAAGGATTGGAATTTGGGTTTTAAGATTTTTTTTAATTTTATAAAAAATAAAATTTTAAAAAATAAAATTTAAATTTAAATAATTTTTTAAATTTTTTATCAATGTGACACATGTCGTCCAATGGATTCTTTTTATAACAGACGTGACAGATAAGATACCTAACAAAGTAACGTCAGAAAACATTAGACACATACTTTCAACGAAAAATTATTTAAACACCTATATAGCAATTATTTATGCATTAAAAAAACATACGAATTTAGGGAAGAAGGGATTAATAGAGAATTCCAAAGGCAAAAATGAAGTGTGAAAGTGAAAAGGGAGGCCTAAGTCAGATAAACACACTGCATGCATGCATGGTTTCAATAACACACGCAGTTGCCGTTTCCCCAAAAATATGCATATATATATTATATACATACTAAATACAGACCAAACTTTTTCTGCAACAATCAGGAAACTGATCTGAGAACAGAAAAAAAATCATTCCTGAGTTATTGGACCATCCTACAAGTACAGTAGTTAAGATTTTATATATGATAATTGTGGTATGGAGTTAAATTGCAGCATCATTCACTTGATACTATGGCATGAGTATGATGCTGGTTTCTAGTACAAACAGGAGATTTCTGAAGCCCTGAGACACTTCGACACTTTTTTTTTGGTTCAGAGAGAAACTTCGATATTGTTATACGTACTCTTAACAATACAGTAAAGGTAAGTCTCCAGATTAAAGCAGCTTCCTCAATCCTGTTGGGTTGCTTTCACAAGTAAAATATGAAGAAAAAAAAGTGTTTTGGATGTATGAAACGTTCTGTTGTCTTGCATGCATTTTTTAATAAGAACATCTAATCATGTACTAATGAAAATAAAAAGCATGCAGCACGCTAAAACAAGTTGAGAACTGTTGAATTTGCAATTGCCAGAGGACATTGATTCCGTTATGAGCTTCTCTTCCGAGTTTCAAGATATTTGACGAGGTCTCATTAATCGTTGTTGACCTTTTTTCTCCTAGATTCCTATCGTTCAAGGAATATCTTGGGAGCCAACCTGGAAGGTGGTGCCTAATGTAAGGATCGCTAAGGATGTCTAAGTCTCATTCGAAACCGATTAAGTCAGCTTTCTTAGTATAACTTATGAGCTTGCTGCTTATGGATCAATGCAGAGATTAGACCATGCACAGGAAGCCTTCTTTTCGTCGGCAGTGCTGTGGAGGAAGAGGGTACGTTTTGTTTTTTCCTTTGACCCGACTTAAGACTGAGACGGACAATAAAGATCTTGATTGCTTTGAGCGTTGGGTAGGTCCAAAACAGCCCACGTCTGAATATCAGGGTGATCTTGGGAGGGAGGTTGGGAATGGTGATTGAGGGAGTGGGAAAGAGACAAATCTTTGCCATTGGAAATGAAATGTTTTAGCTCAGATCCCTATGGATGGGACCTTTGATCAAGTAGCGCCCTTAGATCGGCCGACTGGTTTTAAGGAAGGGTTTTGCTTTGACCTTAAGAATGCCACTGATAGATGGCCGCTCCCGGTTCTAAATTCTCTAATGGCGCTGCCCTGCAGAGGCGATTTTTTGTTCTAGGAAATGTGTTGCACCGTAGATCCATCGACAGAACCAACCTTAGATGTGACGACACGGCTCAACAAACCATTCATTAAATCCATGCAAGAGCATGCGGTGGTCACATTAATGGATATATATATATATATATATATATATATATATTTCCTGTCGGGTGAGATGATAACGGAGGTTCAAGTCAGCAAGGAGGGTCATCAAAAACAATGATCTGAAGCCGTTGAAGAGTTTAAAGTCAAGTGCACCAGTTTCCCAGAAGGACCAAGAGAAACAATTTCCTTGCTTTTTTCAATGAAGAAAAGCTTTTAATTGGTAATCAAGCCATCTGCCCCTGAGACATGTCTCCTTTTCTACAGGCACACAACTTTGAACTTATTAAACATACACACACATATATATATATATATATATATATATATATATATCCCTCCATCCTCTTGAAAACAATATCCCTTTCTAGCTCACATTAAGCAAGCAGTGATGGCAGCCTCATCAAGAATCTACACCAATGGCCTCAAAGTTGCTATCACTGTGACTTTGATCATTACAGTATTTCTGATGCCATCAGGTAATAAAATCCAAAAACTATTTGGGGTTATATTTCATCTATTTCTTTTGGTTTTGATTCCTATTCAATTGTGTAGGCTGTAGCTAATGTTTTGCAGTAAACTCGGGTGGGTTGCAGCAAAGTGAAATGGTGTTGGGGTCGAAGCCTCCCTGTTGTGTGAACAAGTGCTCGAGTTGCAGGCCTTGCATGGCTACTCTTGTCATTCCTACACACATATGGAAGAAAAACTTCGAAAAATTAACCTATGAAGATGAAAGCTATTATCTCCTGGCCTGGAAATGCAAATGTGGGGATCAGCTCTTTCAACCTTGATCGTATCACCATCCACACCACACAGCTCTTTCAAGTTAAATATTTACTATAATATAATCCCTTGATATATATATATTACTACTGTTGTAGATACTATAGGATAATCTTATGTTCTGGTAATTGCCATGTGAGAGGAAGGGAAGATGATGGTGATTTAATTTGTGTTATTAACATATATACGTACCTATTTTAAAAAATATTGCTGAATCTGTTACTGTTTTGTTATAATTATTTCATATAAGGAGTACCGAGATTTCCAAAATTTTCTCTAATATATCTATTACTTGATAGTCGGATTTACCTGACTCTCAATCTATCAATAATCATCATCGTTAAGACTAACACCAACCACCTACAAATAAGGTTGAAGAACAGAATTTTCAACTCCACTCCTATTGTTAATAATCTTCTCTATTTTCTCTAGATCACTATCTATTATTGTAGCTAGAGGATCAATCGTCTAAAACCATCACCTTTCTATTCTAACTATCAACACAATTCTAACTTGAGAGATTGGATAACATATATTAAGCGAAAACATAATGAAGAAGACTTGGAAAACATGAATTGTTACCTACGTGCTCCCTCAAAAAGAAACCAAGATTGTCTGATAAACTATTGACAAATTTCAACTTATTTAAAAATTGCTAAGCCCAGTTTAATACTTAAAAACAAATGAAGCCCAGTAGTATATAAACGACATTGTTATCGGTTTACGTGCGATTTGGTGAAACGGAAACCAGGAATGGAAATGCTCACCATTTTCTCTGCTTCACGCCACCATAATTTCTTCAGCTATTCCATTTCCACAACTTTGAATTCGGATTCACCTCAAGTTTCGATCCCCCCCCTGAAATTACATCCCCTCCTTCGCTCTCTCCCCGTCCGCCTCCGTTCCATTTCCACAACGCGCGCTCCACGTTGTATCTCCGCCGCCCCCCGTCCTCCTCCTCCGCCTGAATCAGACTCCCCAGGTTCCCACCATTTTCTCTTTTTTTTCAGAAACGTTTTGGTAATTATATTCATGCGTTTGGACTGGGATTAATTTATTCTCGTGAATCATTCTGGAAAGTTTTAGACTTTGGATATTTTCCTCTCATATTTGTCTTTTTCGTTAGTGCCTTATTTTGGCTATGAATAGCATTAGTCAGTAATTTTTTTTAAATTAATTGAATTGATTGGTATTCTTTTATAATGTAAATTTATTTAATTTTTCATTTATATTAAATAGTTTAAGTTTTATTTTAAATTTAATTATAAATATTTATAATAGCATGATATTTATTGATTCTAATTTAAATGATGTAATAATATACTATATATATATATATATATATATATTTCATATTAGATAAACATACACTATGCAGAGTTGATGTCTAGTAAATTTTTGAATTATTCAATTACTATTTCATAATTTATTTAATTTTTTTTAAGTTGAGTCGAGTTTTTTGATATTGAATTGAGTCGGTAAATTCAGTTTTTTCGATTCGAATTGAATTTTGTAATCTTAACAAGTTAATGCAATAGGAGTGTGTTAAAGACACTTATTCCTTGCTCTGCATGCAAGTAGCTGAACTTGCGTATATGTTGTTTGCTTATTGCATTTGAAGTCAAGATTCCATTGAAACTGGTTTCAAGGCAGGCATTTTCTGGTGTTCTCATGGTCCTCCTCTCTGGTGGAACAGGGTTAGTGGGAAAGTTATATAGATTTAAGGACCGAGCATGGATCTTCTTTGCTGTTCTTTTCTGGTTGTCTTTGTTCTTCTGGTACTCTGCATGGGATGGCAGGAACTCCGATAAGGGATCTCGATTTCGAAAATAATCTAGCAACATATTTGATTCTGTATATAAATATGTCAGATAGATTAGTACTAGAGTAGATAGATAGATATACACGAAGAAGATCCAGATATAGATAAAGGGTGTACTTGGTTTTCTTTGTTATTCTTGGGAAACCTTTCCATGTAATTTGTAGTGGATCAATTTCAAGGCTGTTTCTTTTACCTTCTAAAATGAAGATAAAATTGACGGTTAAAAGGAGAAAGTAAGTTTGATCGATGGTGAAGTGATTATCTTGTTATAAATCAATGACGTTAATAATAGTAATAAAATGTTACTCTCATGCTTAGTGGTTATTTTGTTATAAATTGATGTCGTTAATAATAGTAATATAATGTTATTCTCATGCTTAGACTTTTCTTCAGTAAGCAGAAACATGCATAGATATTTGGAGTTATGGAAGTGAAAACATGAAGTGGCTGCATGAAGTTCACGAAAAAAATATAGAATAAAATGAAGGCTATTTTTAAAATAAAAATACATCCCCCACAATTTAAATTATTATTTTTCGATCAAAAATAGCCTCTAATGTTTATTAAAATTATCATTTGGTTTTTATTTTTTTCGAAGTATTTTGACCTTCAACGTTTTATTTTTGGGTAAAAAGCTCCATCTATAGATAAAAACTATTAGTATACATATGATTAACGTTCTAAAATAGGAGTTTTTTTTTAACTTAAAATGAAATGTTGAGAACTAAAATGTCTCAAAAAATAATAAGGATTCAGTAATTAGTTTGTCAAATGCTAGGGGGCTTTTTGTCCTAAAATAAAATGGTGGAGGTCAAATGCTCAAAAAAATAGAATCGGGGCTAAAATATTCTAAAAATAAAATAAAGAGTAAAATGATCAGTTTGTCAAATGTTAGAGATTTTTTTTATCTTAAAATGAAAGTTGGAGTCAATACTAAAAAATAAATTAGAATACAAGTAAAATGAACATTTTAATAAACATTTAATGGTTAATATATATATATATATATCCCATAATTTGGGCTTTAATGTTGACATCTTATTTTTTTAGTATAACCCTATATATCTGAACTATTGATCGATTAATTTAGATTGGATATTGCAGAGGCAAAAGTTATCATTTCAACTCAATTTACTACATTCGCAACCGTCAGGATTCGAACTCATGACCTTACTTAAGAGGTCTAATGCTTATCCGACTATACCAACTAATTGTGGATCAACGGCTTATGTCCATTCGATTGATTTTTCTTAAAATTCTCACTTTCAACCTATTTTAGCACAAAATACATTAATATACCTTGATTTATGTATAGAATTTGAGAATTTTTATAAGTTTATATCTCAACAGATATTTATCATTTTAATTTAATTTTCAATCTTTTTTAATAAAGTCGTATGAAATGAAATTCGAATCGATTAAATATGTTCAAATGAGATAAAATTAATATATATAAATAAAATCTTGTATACAATATCACTAAATTTTAATTTATGACACATAATTTAATGCCATGCACATCTGAAAATTTCTTTTAAAGCGAAATAAGAGAACTAAAATATTTTAGTACTTGCTTTGACATTTTATTTGTTTAAAGTCCCAAATTTATCATTTGACATTTTCTACATATCGTTAGAGGATTTTATTTTTAAAATTTTACATATTTTTTGAATTATTGAGGATTTCCCCCCCCCCCACAATTTTTGTTGAGGGATTTATTTGTATTTTTGAAACTGGACCAAAATGGATTTTATGCAAATTTGTTATTATGTTTAGTCAAACATATAATTCGATTTGAGTCGAATTCAAATAATCAAATAACTCGATTCAATCACATCGAAATTTAAAATTTTATTGATTTTTTTTTCTATTTTAACTTTTAATCCTAAATCTTAAAAAAGAACTGAAATATTAAATTAAGAAAAAATAACTGGGATCCCATCAAAACGATTCCTTGAGAGAAAAGTAAGTTGCTGTAGACTAAAGAACAAGGGATGCTGTCTTGCAAACTAGCTTGGAAAGATAAAGAGGTTTTGAACAACTATAACAAGAGTGGTTGAATGGATGTCATCTTCATCTGGTATGCTTTTGGCCATATTTAAAACATAATGTAAACGAGCTTATAACGACCGACAAGCAACTAAATCGATGAACTGGAACCGAAACTGCACAGTTTTTTCACTTCGATCTATACATATTCGAGTGTCCAACTATAACAATGGCTGGAATCACCTTGGACCTGATAGTTTAATCTCAGACAACCATTCATCACTATTGTAGTCTGTTGTTCCTAATGTTGAACCCTCGCCACTGTTCCATTTAAAAATGCCCGGGACCGAAGAGATTGCTGGTTCGGGTACAGGACAGAGACCTTGGAGCATTTGAACTACTTTAGTCATCGGTGGCCTTGAACGGAAATCTTCTTGTATGCACCATACTGCAACTTTTATAGCAGAAACAAAGCTTTCATCGTTTTCATCGATATCTAGCTGAGGATCAAGGACTTCTTTCAGATTTCCTTCTTTCAACATCTTCAATGCGAAAGAAGGTAAATGAGATTTCTCTGGAATTTCTTCCGGATCGTAACTCTTCCTACCCCCGATTATCTCGAACAAGACCATTCCATAGCTGTATACATCGCTCTTCTCTGATATAGGGTTGTTGGTAATCCATTCTGGTGCAAGGTATCCCCTTGTACCTCTCAATGTTGTATATACCAGGCTATCTTCACGGCTAATAAGCTTAGCCAAGCCGAAATCTGAAACTTTGGCATTGAAATTATCATCAAGAAGAACGTTTTCGGGTTTTATGTCACAATGCACAATCTTGACTTCGCATTCCTCATGGAGATAAGCCAAACCCTTTGCTGTACCCAGTGCAATATTGAATCTTGTATTCCAATCTAAAATGCTACCTTCTTCATCGTTCTTGAATATCCATTTATCTAGAGATTTTTTGCCCATGAACTCGTAAACAAGAAGACGGTGAACACCCTCAGAGCAGAAGCCTTTGAGCTTGACAAGATGCACATGATGGATGCTTCCAATGATTCTAACTTCAACCCTGAACTCCTTTTTCCCCTGTCCTATGCCCTCCAATTTTTTAACAGCCAATTGGGTGCCATCCGGCATCTCGCCTTGGTATACCGAACCAAATCCGCCTTGGCCAACCTTTTTAGAGAAGTTTTTAGTTGCCTTACAAAGTTCACGATAAGTGTAACGAACAGGCATCCCCGGAAAACTCTCCAGTAAATTATCATCTTCCAACTTCTCTTCAGCAGATTCCCGCAATCTCTTCTTTTTGCGGTAGTAATAGAATCCCACAAAAAGAAGACCGGCAATAACTAGAACCGTTGCTGTTGCTGTTGCTATTATCACAACATATATAAAACGCTTACCATTGCCATTCTCATTTATCGAGACCTTCACAAATGAAACAAAACCTCTAGAATGCTGCTCAGCATGCTTCAGACTTCCAACACGGTCAAACAAAAAGCAATCCCCGGTAGCGTTGTCAAAGAAAAGTGCACTACAAGAGCAGTTTCCCAAGCAAGCTTTCTTGCAAGCATCTATACCGGAGGTCATATTGGGTTTGACAAACTTAAGTACAGAATAATCAAGCTTCCGACCAACGTAGAGTAGACCTGCTGAGTTACAAGTAGAGAATACTGGTGAGCTGCAGTCGTCGGTAGTGACGAGAGGTTTAGGACATTGGCACACGGTGTCCAAATAGCACACCATAAACGGGGGACAAGCATCAGGAATGTTGCAGGGGTTTTGTGGTATCTTCGTTGCCTCAGCAATTGCTGTATCTTCCTGGTTTAGATTATAGAACATTATCACTCCGTCTGCTCCTAATCTGGCAGCCCATGTGACATTCATATCAGAAGTTTGAGAGAAGTTAAACCGCCATATCAACTTTTTATTGTGATCATAAAAGTTCCATGTGTTGGAAACTAAAACTGCAGCAGAATACACCTTGCCGGTGAAATTCTTATAGGTTTCCTGCATTTCGTCGGACAAAGACCAATAAGTTTGTGGAGTCGGGAATCCTGTGTACAAGACCAAATCCCCAGATTGAAATTCAAGATAATCGCTCTTATTATTTTTGGGAAAACTTTGTAGTCTCATTCCTTCCACAAACTCTTGGCCGGATAAAAGTGTATCGGTGGGATAGCTAAAACTTTGCCAAATCATTACTTCATCAGTCCCACGAAGCACTAAGTTACCCGAATCCAGCAATTCCAGGGATGTGGCATTTTCTCCGGTAGTGTTTGTAGCCCAAGCAACCCCATCTCTTCTTTCCAAGTATACATTTCCATTATTGTCAAACACAAACTTATCGGATTTACCAACGGTCAAGCCTATATTAGCAGTCCAAACAATTTGGCAAGTATTAACATGGCCAATAACCAAGAGATAACCTGGACTTTGAGTATCCAGGGAATTATAAAAGCCAAGAGCAAATGTTCTACTTTTAGAAAATAGGAACTTGCCATCAGATTTCTCCCATTCCGTCTGATATGTTTGAAATCCTGGATATAACTGCCCAAGAAGTTGACCAACAGCAATACAGATTTTGAAGGCCAAAAGTAGATTGAAAAACAAGGTTCTAACTTTGAACAAACTCATAATTCCTGTAAATACAAGTTGCACAGCACCAAGTTTGCTATGTAGTCCACAAAATTCCGTGCTAAACTTATAAAAACTCGGAAGACTTTGCTCAAACTAAAAAGAAATACTAGTTAAAGCTAACCCAAAACAACACGAAGAATAATTTGGATATAACGTAAGCTAAACTTTCTAAATACCAAAGGACAGATGTACAAAAAGGAAAGCTAAGAGCAAAGGCGAAGTCACAAAACTATATAACCATTTTAGGAAAAAAAAATGGAAATATAAATAGCAAACTAAGTTGTCAAATAATAGGGTTTTAACTGCGCAAATTATAACTTACAAAAAGGGCAATAAATCCATAATAGGGGCTTTCAAATTGATGGTTGATTAGGGCGGAAGGAAGATGGCCCAGATCAGGAAAAGGAGATATCAACAACCCTTCTTTCTCTTTCTTGTAATAGAAAAACATAAGCTTGAATCAAGTTCGAAATTAAACCTTTTTTTTTTTTTACGAAAAATTGATCCCAGACAGGTTTCTTCCCTGCATGTTTCTTCCCTGTTTCTCTCCTTTCTTTGTGCAAATTAGGGAGAAATATAGGAAGAGTCGGTTGGCAATATGATTACTATTTTTTTAAACAAATCTTACATGTATATGACGTATTGTTATGCCTAGTTAATTTTCTTTTTATTTATCATTAATTTTATAAAATTTATAAATAATTATTAGATTATATTAACTAATCTTTTTTAACAATAAATTTTCAAAAGTCATACACTATAAATCTTAAATTTTATTATACAATAAACACGATATGATTAAACTAATTGTAATCAAAAGAGTAACGTAATACTTAAATTAATAAGATATATTTCATTTAACTCTTTAATTATAACTAAATTTTAATTTATTAGTTTTTTAATATTTTTAAACAATAACTCTAAAATATGTTTCTCTTAAAATATATTAATTTTTTTAATTTAATTTTAAAATTATAAATTTGTAGTTTATTAAATTATTTTATAATTAATTTTTATTTAATTATGATTATATTTATAAAATTAAAAATGTATAATTTATAATTTTTGTGATCTACCAATTTCATTTATCAAACAACGAAATCATCTTTTGTTAAACGATATGATTTAAATATTCAACTTTTGTCTAAAAACTTTAAGAGTAAATTATTGAAATGGTCATTTTCCTTTCAGTTTTGTCCACTTTTACTCACCAACTTAAAAAAAAAAAGTTTTAGTCACTTAAATTGTCGTTTTATTAAGTTTTGGTCACTAAAACGTTAAATATTGTTAGTTTGATGACATGATATGTCAATAAAATATACTAATTTTCACTTTAATCCATGATCTTTAGATAAAATACTAATGTAGGTATTTTTTTAAAACTTGAAGTAGTTTAGGAATAAGTTATCAATTTACCCTTAGGCCAAATTGATCATTATCATCAATTATTGATGGAAAGTCTTCACGAGCAGCTGAAAAAATTGAAGGTCGAAGAATCTATCTCTAGCACTAGGGCTGAGCAACGAAACTGAGAAAACCAAAAAATCGACACGAATCGAGTAAAATGGTTCGGTTCGGTTCAGTTTGACCTTATACGGTTCGGTTTTCGGGTTAGTTTAATTATTCAAATCTTCTAATTCGGTTCGGTTCGGGTTTTCCATATGGAATCCATTTATTCCATTTGAACCAAATAAGAAATTGGGTCAGTCCAGCCTGCTACTCACTTGGACATTTACCCTTACGGCCTTACCCATAAGCGATATTGCTGTAATAAAAAAACCCTAAATCTAAATAGGAATATTTTCTCCACTCTTCTCCAGCCCCTCGGCCCTCACTCTGCCGTTCTTGATTCTGTACTCTCCCCACTCTCGACAGAGCTTCAAGTCTTCAACTGCAACGATTCGACAGAGCTTCATCTCTTTCCCTTCATCTTGGCATCTTGAACGTGATTTCATAAGGTAAATAACTCGAACATATTTTTGGTCTGTTAATTTTGGGGCGTGAATTTAGAGTTTTTTTTTGTGGGTTTCAAAGTTTGTAGGTCGTGATATTTGTTTTCCCCGCTTTTATCCTTGTTAATTCTACTTATTCGAGTTTGTATTGCTTCGATCTTTACTATTTTCTTATCTTGCTTTTTGCATATCAATTGTGATTTTTCGTATGAAATCAAAATTTTATTTTCATTGGTTGAAGAACTATGCTAAATCAAGGTTACACATTTACTCTCTCTCATGCTGGGATCTGTTTTCCTTTCTTTATTTTTAACTACCCTTGTTAGATCAGTGTGATTGAGCGTTCTGATGAGATTCAAGTGTGCTTACCTTTCTATTACCTTGTGATGGTATTGGCTTGATCCTGTACTCAACCTAATATTTGTTCGTTAGCTATGTGCTATAATAATGAAACTTTGACATCTCCCACAACACCATTGTGTCTTGGATAGTGACTCAACACCAGAAATAATAGTTTAAAACTGTCATTGCGTGGTGTTTGTCTAAGATTTTATAGGATAAAAATGTCGCAATCTTTAGTTGGCAAGCATTCTCGACTACATATTAAAAGCCTCAGGTCTACCCGGGTTATGGTGTGCTTTTCTTTTCCCTTTTGATTCAAGTGGCTATATATCTGTCACAGATGCATTCAATTTCAAAGAGTTTCTTAAGTTTTGAATTCCGAAAGCTTATTTATTGCATTTCAATTTTAAACTTTCATGCTTATTCACCATAGTTCTTCAATTATCCATCTATTCTATGCTCATTTTCTTGAGGTATTCATGTCCTTCACATATGTCCTGGATATGATATGATAGTATTTTTCTTCATATATATGAAATATTTTAGAAAATATGAAAATTAAAACTTAGTGTAGGAAACAAATTTCCAGGAAAGTTAACCCGGTTTAAAATAGAATTCCACATCTAGTGACCATAAAATTAACTTTACATGAAACAAAATCAGGGGGCCAAGGGTTGTTTTGGTATTTAAGTATGCCTATAAGTTATCAATCCTTTTCATATTAATAATATTTTCTTCAAACCAAATAAAAAAGCACCAGCTGGATTGATAAAGAGATGTTGCTAGATGTGGTACTACCATTTCCCAGTCCTTATGCAACCTAGTCTCATTCCCGCTTATCTCAATTTGATCTCTAAGTCAAACTTCTTGTAGCTTAATGAACCCAGTGACACATGCCATGTTAAGTTCTTACAAAGAATGTGGATAATTTAAGAAAAAAATGCTAAAACTGATATTGAATTTAATTGTTTCAAACATGAAGCGAAAAGTCACGGGTTTATTCTATCAGATTGGGGGCCACAGATAGAAATGTAAAACCCACTTCTTTAAATTGCTCACTTACCAGTCCCATGATTACAAATTTATTAATAATTCACATAATTTAATTAAAAAAATATTACTTATATTTATCCTTTTAAATAATATCATTTAACTCATTATTAATATATAATTGTATAAAATTGCTTTACATTAAATCTAAACAGAATATTAATAACTAAACTTATGCTTTTCTTTTATTAAGATAACAAACCACAACCGAATTGTTAACATAACTCATCCCTTTGCTTATCTCATAATTCATGTTTTGATTCAACTTCCTCTATTTGCTTCAACTTTCTCATTCTTCAATATTTTCTTGTCATTGTAAACTGTTTTTTTTCCTTCAGAAATGAAGTCTTCATCATCTAATGCTACTCCAATTTTTGTGCTGATGCTGAGATTCCTTGTGATACTACTGTCAAAACTGATCAATCAGCTGCAGCTTCTTCAAGCATCCCATCGAATCTTCAGCAGCCTTTAAAAAAAACAGGAGGCATGTTAGGTACTACAAGTTCTATAGTTTGGGAACATTTTACAAAATTACCTTGTGTAGTTGGAGATATTCCACAATGTAGCTGTAATTATTGTGGAAAACCCCTTAAATGTCCAACTAAAAGTGGAACTAGTGTCATGCATAATCATATGAAACGTTGTCCTAAGTACCCATTTAACAAGGTAAATGAAAAGCAACAGAATTTGTGTTTTAAATCAGAGGAGGATGGGCAGCAAAGTTCAGGTTCAGTTATTTGGAAATTCGACCAAACACAATGCAGAAAATATTGTGCTAAGATGATTATCATGGATGAATTGCCTTTTAGAGTTGTTGAGCATGAGGGATTTCGAGATTTTTGCAATATGATGCAGCCTAGATTCCAAGTTCCCTCTAGGTTCACTATAACAAAGGATTGCATGGAAATTTACTTGGAAGAAAAAGATAAACTTTTTAAGTATTTTAAGAGTTTCAATCAAAGGGTTTCTCTCACTACGGACTTCTAGGCAAAACCTTAGTTATTTGTGTCTCACTGTTCATTTTGTTGATGATGAATGGAAATTACATAAACGAATCTTAAATTTTACACCCATTCCAAGTCATTCGGGTGATGTGATAGGGAAATGCATTGAAAAACACTTGCTTGAGTGGGGAATAGATAAGGTTCTCACAATCACAGTAGATAATGCTAGCTCCAATGATGTTGCGATCAAGTATATAAAAAAGGCTAAACAATTGGAAACATAGCATTTTAGGGAGTGATTACCTTCACATGAGGTGTTGTGCACACATATTAAATCTAATTGTCAGAGAAGGTTTGAAAGATTTGGATGACTCGATTTTTAGAATTTGTTTGGCTGTTAGATATGTTAGGTCATCACCAGCTAGGATGCAAAGGTTTAAGTTGTGTGTTGAGCAAGAAAAAATTGAGAGCAAGGGTTTAGTTTGCTTGGATGTTGAAACTAGATGGAATTCAACATTTTTAATGTTAGATACTGTCGTGAAATTCGAAACAGCTTTTGACAGGTTGGGAGAGCAAGATTTTAAATATAGAGATGAGCTTTCAAGTTCAAAAATGAAGGGTCTACCTACCGACTTAGATTGGGAGCATGCTCGTGCTTTATTGCCATTTTTAAGAGCCTTTTATGATGCTACATTGAAGCTGTCCGGTTCTTCATATGTCACTAGCAATTATTATTTTCATGTTGTGTTTGGCATTGGAATGAGAATTAATGATAAGCTAAATGATTCAAACTCAAGCATAAAACTTATGGCTTCAAATATGAGGGAAAAATATCACAAGTATTGGGGGAATGTGAAAAATCTTAATCCATTCTTATTCATTTCTATGATTTTAGATCCTAGACATAAGATGGATTATGTAATCTTTGTGATTGAAGAAGTTTACGATGCTAAAAAATCTGAGCAGTTGAGTGAAATTGTAAAACAAACTTTAAGTGAGTTGTTTGATCATTATAGTTTGTTAAGTGGTAAATCCCAAGAGGAACCAAATGTTGCTTCTCAATCTAATGTCTCTAGGGTTGAAAATGATGAGATGTTTGATTTGTTTGTTTATTCCAAGACCAAGTACAAAAGGAAGAGGGCTGAAAGTGTGTTTAGTGAAGGTAAATCTGAACTTGAAAGGTATTTGGAGGACAAAGTAGAACCTGATGTTAAGAAATTTGATTTGCTTGATTGGTGGAAGAACAAAAGTCAGACCTATCCCATAATTTCTGTAATGGCTCGAGATATATTTGCAATTCCTGTATCTACAGTGGCTTCAAAATCTGCTTTCAGCACTGGAGGTCGTGTTCTTGACTCATTTCGGAGTTCTTTAACTCCAAAAATTGTTGAGTGTCTCATTTGTGCACAAAATTGGCTGAGAGCATCACCTGTAACAATCCAAAAAGAGGAACAAATTGAAGAAATGGAGAACATTGAGAGTGGTAAGTAATAATTATATAAACACTTGTAAAAATATTTTCTGACTCATTTCTATAAATATTCTTACTTCTAAATATTTTTTTTGACTTTTAATAGGTTTCGATGATTTAAGGCTAAATGAAACAATGATGACCATTGATGATTGATCGAAGATGGAACACTTACAAAGGTAATTTTTATGATTTAATTTTATAAAGCTTATGACATGATAATATTTGAAATCAAACCGATTGAAAGTTCTATGATTTAATGTTATAAAGCTTATGACATGATAATATTTAAATATTGTTTTTGTTTGTGATATTAAAATATTGTTTTGATAATATATTAAATATTAGTTTAAATTTAAATATATTTCAATTGAAATGTAATTCTGATTTAAATTTTGCATGATAATCTTATCCGTATAATATAGATTGAAGGCTGGGTGATGAAGAGCTGACTGTAAAGTTAAACTTGAAGGCTGAAAAGTTTTCAGCATCTGCAAATGAAAAGCTAGAGGATGTTGGTTGTTCTATCATGAATGGATGATTATAGTTTCAAGCAACTTTTTATTTAACTTTGATTTGGTTGTTTAATTTGTTGTGTGAACCGAACTGCGAACAATATGTAGATTATAGTTTTTGTATGGATTATATATGTGGAATGTGGATCATCCATAGCAATGTGGATTATAATTTTTGTTGGATTATATACGTGTTTACTAAGATTATATATATATGGGTTATGTGTTTTCAGCATCTGCAAAGTAATTTTTTTTTGAATTTATAGGTTCAAGTGAAATTTTCATTGAAAATCAAAACAGACAATGATATTTTTCAAGTATGTCTAATAATGTATTAGGTTTATGGAAAATCGTTTTACCGAACAGAACCGAATCAAAAAAACCGGTTTCGGTTTTTTTCGGTTTTTTAACAATTCGGTTTCGGTTTCGATTTAAATTTTGAAAAACCGTTTATTTCGGTTTGGTTCAATTTTTGGTAAAAAACCGAACCGAACCGAACCGAACCGAATACACCCCTATCTAGCACCGTAATGGCCGGAGGAAGAATCCACCAATAATGATCATATCAAAGCCTATTATATGCTCAATCATTACTCTATTTATGATATAATAAGCGGTGTTTGGGGTTTCTATACAAATTTATTTTATCAAATTATTTTCACAAAGTACGATTCTAGTCGTTATCTCTTAAGTTTTATTTTTTCTCTCGACAATTCTATTTTTTTATCTCTAAAGTTCGTTTAGAGACAACACTCGGCAAAATAACTCTATTTTTGCGGTGTTGTCTCTAAATATGGTTCTAGAACATACAATATTTTAAGGTGTTCGAGTCGCCTAAATATAATTAATCTTATATTCGATCTTACATAAATATATCGTTTCTTCTTTAATATACATCAGCTTCAAAATTTAATTTAGTATAAACCTTAATAATAAATATTAACCTTGTTGAGTTAATCGATCGACGGAATCGGCCAAGAGGGGGTGAATTGGCAATTAAAAATTTCGTGGAAGCTTTTGCAGAAAAATTGAAAGTAATTGCACAACGATTTACAGTGGTTCGACTTTCTCAAACAAAGTCTACGTCCACTACCTTAGCTATCCACACTAAGGATTTTCCAATAAATTCACTAATTTATTCTTTCTTTTGAGGCCAAAGAGATAACCTTACAAATCCCTCAAGAGTATACCCAAACTCTTGAGAACACTCTTTTTTCCAAAGAGAATATTACAAATTTGGAAACTTACAAGAAAACCTCACAAGGTAAGATGTTTGCACAATTATAGAACAAGAAAAGAACACTCAAAGATAATTACAAATGAGCACAAATGGTGTTCTTGAAAGCAAAATGAATATTGAAAGGAAAATTGGCTTGATTTGCACAAACTTGGTGTTTGATGCTTTCTCTCTTGTTTCTCTATAATTTCTTGTTGATCAAGGGCTTCAGAACTTGTTTAAATACACCTTGAATCTCTTCTGAACGTTGGGGATGATTAGTGAAGATCATATAGCCGTTTTAATGTGAAAACAATTAATAAAACAGTTTGGAGCGTGGGGGAAATCGGTACCCCTTATGGGGAATCGGTTCCCTAAGTGTAAAATTCAAATATTTCGACCGTTGAACAGGGGGGAATCGGTACCCCCTATGGGGGAATCGGTTCCCTCCGAACATTCTGGAAATCTTGGAGCCAAACCATTCAGGGGGGAATCGGTACCCCCTATAGGGGAATCGGTTCCCACTGAGCAATCTGGAATTTTTGGCTTTGAAATGGTTCGAAATACTTTGAAAGATTATTTTGAAATTGTTTTAAGATTAAAACTTAATTTTACACTTAAGTAAGGATTAAAAATGATTTTTGAAATATTTTGAGTAATGTTTTGATATTCGAATAATTATATCGAATATACTTAGAAAATCATTTTGGAAAATCTTAAAATTCATTTAACTTAATTTGTTATATTAAAATATCAAAATGTTTTCAACAATCCCCCCTTTTTGATATAACAAAACATTTTAGTAATTTTAAGATTTTGAAATCAAGTTTTGAAATTACTCCCCCTTACTTTAACACTTCTCCCATTTATCATTTTAAAAACACACTTAAAACACACTTCTCCCCCTTTTTGTTAAATCAAAAAGATTCAAATAAACGTGAAAATATTAAGCCAATTAAGATCACAATTAAGAGAAACGTTAGCCATTAGTTCCGTAATCAATATTCATAAATAATGTGATATGGCAAAATTGGTCATATTGCTAATAATGATGTAAATGATGCAATAATAAATAAATCACACCAAACATATAAGTTCAAACCATCCATAAATCCAAACAAATTCACAATCCTCAAATTCAAACATCCCAAAATATTCAAAATGTTAAAACAATAAGTTTGGAAAACAAAGTAAAACATAGAATCAAACATCCGTAGGAGGATCGGGAGGAGGAAAACGAGCTCGCATAGCGGCCATTTCGTTAGTGAGGTCATTAATATGTGCGTTGGTTGCTTCATTATTTGCACGCATTTCCCGAAGAATTTCTAATTGTTGAGCTCCCATTGTGGATAAATGGGACTCTATAGAAATAAAGCGTGAATCCATGGTCGCATATCGGTAATCAAATGTCTCCATAAAAGATTGAAAATATGGAGGCATTTAAGTCGATTGTTGTGCTTGCTCTTCGGGCTGCTCCTCGGCCTGCTCAGGTTCAGCTTTAGCTTCATCGATGTCTCGCATTAGTTGCTCAAGCTCGAGATCTTCGTCAGCTTCGGGTGGAGCTCGTGAAGAACTAGCTCCCGGAGTAGTTGCAGAAGATCGAACCCATTCCCCGGTTTCCTTATCCTTAATCCATCCCGCTCTCGTTAAGGAAAGAAGGTTAATTTGTTTCTTAAGAGGAAAAACAACATCTAGACTGACTCTAAGCCCAGCTTTGGAAAACAGATTACTCAAAATACAACCATAAACAAGAGATGAACAAAGTTTTTTTTTAGGAACAAGATTTACGGTTTCAACAATTTCAGCAAAAATAATCTGAGGTAGGTTGATTTTAATATTGTTTTCGAAACAATGTAACCACCAAAGATCTAAGGCTCTAAGAGTAGAATAACGACCTCCAGATGGTCGAAACCACTAAGAAATCATTAGATGAAGAAAACGTTCATGAAGGTCTAGGACACTTACACTATCCCTTCTTTTATAACGAGATCCTAAAACCTGTTTTTCATTTGAAATCCCTTCATTATCTAATCCGAATGTATTGGCTATGTAAGCCGAGTCAATATATAAGAATTGTCCTAGAAGGTAGGAACGAATTCCTATGGTTTCGGTTTCAGTTTGGTCTTTAACACAAACAACATTAGAATAGAAAATACGAACAAGTTGATGGTAAACGATGGGTTCAAGGTCAAAGAGTTTATCAAATTTCCACTCTTGTAAAAGAGGAAGATATTTAAAATTGATAGCTAACATAGCTTGACGAGAAGGAATACGTTCTTCCCGGATTTTGTAAGAGTCGAAATATTGATAATACCAAAAACGATGATTTCTAGGACCAGGATGATTGAAACACGAATTTTGGATAGTCAAATTAGGATCAATAGGATTAGGATTAGAAATTGGAATAGGTGGAGGATTTGAAGGTGGATTTGGTTGTCGGTGTGAACGACTAGATGAAGACCTAGCACGTTTAGGATTAGACATGGTGAAGGAAATCGGAATAGATTGAATAACCTGCAAATTTAAAAACAAATGTATGCAATTCAATTAATCCCAAAACTCAAATGAGTCCTCAATATTTCAAGGTTCTCTAAATCAATTCTAATGGGCAAAGTTTTTGAAAAACTTTTGAAAAATATGGTTTTGAGAAACAATATATGTATAGTTTTTATAACAACAACATAATTTAATCAAAACACAATAATTTGAAAATTAACTTTTTTTTTTATTTCGAAAAATTAAAAATTTTGGAAAATTCTTGTGTTTTTTTGATGAAATTAGTTGTAACATCTAGTTTCTAATCACTAAATAATCAATGCCCGATCACTATTTCAACCTAGAACTAATTAAAACTAATCCTATGTTCAAAAACAATGAAATAGAGAGTTTAGAAAAATTTACCTTGAAAGATGAAGATTGAGGGGATTTAGATGTTGTTTGCACGATTTTAATGATTTCAACAGGTTTAGAAGATGATATTTGAAGCAAATTCCGATTAATATCGTTGATTTGAGGTAAAAATAGAGATTTGAGAGATTTAGAGATGAAGAACGGCGGAAGAAGAAGAAAAGGAGGGTTTTTGCGTGTTTTGAAGGGTTCTGTCTGATTTTAACAGAACCCCAGGGGGGTATCGATTCCCCTGTGGGGGGAATCGGTTCCCCTTCAAAGGGGGAATCGGTTCCCTCATGGGGGGATCGATTCCCTCTGCACCAAAATGCTAAAATCTGACTTTTAAGCACATAAAATGCTAAATTAATCTTCTCTAGTGGTATAGGCAACTCATATATTGAAAATAATTATGTTCAAACAATTAAATTAATCTTTAAACATTATTTGAACATAAAATTAATTTTTACTAAGAATCATAAACTCCCCCTAACTAATAGCAAGAATGCAATCAAAAATTATTATTATAAGCATTTTTC